CCTTTGCCCGTTTAAACCTTCTTCACCTCTAGCCTCCTCGACCTTCCTCTTTCTTGGTGCATCGCTCAGATCTTTGGAAATCTTCTTCGGATTTGGTTTCTCGGTTGTCTCTGGCTGTTTCATCCATTGGCCTTTCCCGTTTGAAGATGCTTCTTTTGTATTTTCTTGTGTGCGTGCAGGTCTCTTGTTCCCTGCATCTTCTCTCACTGAGAGACTCTTCTCATCTGATTTTGCTTCTTCTTTCCTATGTTCGCGTGGGCGTATTGGTTTCTTCTTCTTGATCCCGGTAGAAGTCTCTGACATTGGACCAGTGTTGTCCTCTTCCCTTGTTTTTCGTTTTGATTTATTGCCTGGATGAATGTCCTCTGCCTGCTCTTCACCGTTTGCCTGCTCTTCGCTGTTTGCCTGCTGATCCTCAGATTCATTGAGTTTACCGCGTTGCTGAAACTGTTGCTGCTTAGCATTTCGTATCTTCAGCTTCTGGATATTATCAATAGCAAATTCTATAACGGGACGGTGTTGAGGTCCAAATGTCTCTGCAAAAACAAAAGCCAAACCGATGACCATAATATGAGATTTTGATTCTTGTGTAGTAATATATCATATGGTACATGGATATCTGTCATAATGATATTTGTCTCAACTTATGGCTTCCCTTCAACTCCAAGATCGGTGTGCATAACAGCATCATCAAATGAAAACCGCTCTAAGAAAATTCTCTAAGCTTGATGGAATATTAGCTTTCAGAGAAATTTACCTGGATTATTGTTAAGTACTCTCAGGGCCACAAGAGCATGTTCATGCTCTGTGAACTCTACAAACGCAACTCCACGGGAGTAGTTCTTCGTATCAACTTTACCCTTCTTTTCATTTTGTAAGAACTTGATCTGCATTAAAAAGAAAGAACCCAGATTTAGATATAGAACTATGTTTGAATTGTAGCACAAAGCCCGCAAATATGTCACCTGTCGGATTGATGGCTTCTGCTTTGTAGCTCGTGAGGTAACAGCATCAACTAACAGCTTTTGTAGTTGCTTTTCATGCATGGACTTTGGCAAATTATATATGACAAGCCTTGTTTTCGATACATGGAAGTTAGGAGACTGAAGCTTTTTCATCTTGTTTTCATGCAATCTGCGAGGACAATCACATGCTCACTCTTCGATAACTAGACAGTAACAGGCATATATGAGAAAGTATAAAAAATATTACCTTCGTCGCCTGTCCATATCTTCTGCAGACACACCCTCAGCAGCAGGTGTGCCATCAAGGATCTGACCTTCCTGTGGAAGTTATAACAGAATGAATATTAGTGCGTGTGTGCAAAGCATGCAGAGATTACAATTTTTCCAGAGATTTTGGGAGGGCTGAGAGAAGCGTGTACCTTAGCAAGATAAAGATTTCGATGATCATGATTCTTCTCCTTTGTCTTTTCGAGGCCTATGTCCTGTGCAGATTTCTTATCCACAGCTCTCATAACGCTGAGTTGCCTGCCTTTAAGAAGGACACTGACACCCGAGGCAGTACTGGCAGCTGAAATGGCTGCATCTGATGCATCTGCTGTTTTGAACTTAAGAAAAGCAGTCCCTTTTGGTCGTCTGAGAAAGAAAACACATAGAGGGACAAAATGAGAAGCTGTGTTTGGGGAGATACCAGAGCCTGGATTTGATTTTACGATTAAATGAATTTTTCAAAGCATAGAAGGATGCGTACTTTGTGACTGGGTTGAGAACTAGGAATAAAGATTCAACTTGCCCAAAGACAGCAAACCTTTGTGTGACTTCTTCCTTACTAACATCAAATGGAATGTTGCTTATAAATACAGTTCTCTGAAAATCTTCATTTTCCTGGATCTCTTTGGGAGCCACCTCTTTAGTTTTACTGGATTTTAATGGTTCAGAGCCGCCAGAAGAGTCAGCAACTGGCTTAGTTGATGAATCCTCGAGTTTGTTTTTATCTGACTTCTCTGTCTCTCCATCATGAGACTGAATAGGAACTTTTGAAGACGCAAGCAAGTTCTTAAGCACCTTTCTGGCAACATCTGCTTCCTCTTCAAAATTCACATCGGTCCCAGCATCTTTCTCCAGTGCCTCTGATTCACTCGGTTTGTTACTGCCATCCACCTCCTCATCATCAATATCATCTCCTGAAGGTTGGTGGCTTTTGACAGCATCATCAACCTCCTCCAAATCAACACTACTATTATCACTATCATCATCACTTCCATTTTTGTCATCTGCCAAGGTTGATGCCAAAAAATATGAACATTCCATTCGATAGAGGTAAAACAAAACATCAGCCACCAACTGTATTTGTTTCCCTCGTTATATATTTTAGGCATTCAATTTTATCGTTTCAATAAAAGAATACCAGATCTCAGGATGCAAAATAACTAAAAAAGGTTTAAAACCATTCAGTTATTAGGTAACATACCATCTGCTGGAGCAGTAGCGGCATCAGCGGCACCATTGTATAGATTCTTAGGTACAGCCCAGTCTACAGCTATAGGCCTTTTACTAAACATGTACCCATTGAACTTTTTAATTGCCTGAAAATGCAAAAATAAATATGACAAGTGATCTGAATGGAAAATGATCAAATCAAGATACCCATGCTTGTAGATCTTACATTTTCTGCATCTCTCTTACATGTGAATTTGACAAATGCAAAACCCTTAGGTAGCCTGCCAAGATATTCCACTAATTTAGAATAATATACACTGATTTATTAATAATCAATAAAATTTGTCAGATGAGTTACAACATACCCAGTTTCCAAATTTTTAGGAACAAAAACATCCCAGACAAACCCTACTGCTGACAAAACCTTTTTAATTTCAGTAGGTTTAGCCTGCAAATTCCAAATTAAAAATCCATAAGAAAAACATAGTGTCATGTATGAAAATGTAGAGAGAACAAAAAATCTCGGTTATAAAAACCTGGAAAGGAAGATTTCGGATAATTAGTTTCCACTTCTGAGCCTTTGAGCCCTGCCTCCAACAAAATACAAATAGATCATGAACTGTTTCTAATGCTTATCAGTTAACTTCTCAATAGAGATAATTGGTGAAAAGCAAATAATGTTCACCTCCCCACCGAGTTGACGTGCCCAAATATAATTTCCCTTTATGTCTGTTTGATGTAGTGTTGCAACAGCGGCACAAGCAGATTTGACACTCGTAAAGAGAACAGCTGATGCATCTGCCCTGCATCCATCTTGGGTAAGACCTGATAAAAATAATATTCTAACGCTTAATGCATGCATTATGAGCACAGAGTCTGGCATGCCCTTATAAGAGAATCAAATAAGTTAATAACTACATTCTCACAGTAGCAACTAAAACGTGGATAGGGTGTCTTGCAAACTTTATTCAGATACCAGAACGAGCATGTGCATACAAGCTTTAAGAAAATATGATGCGAC